CTGTCTAGTCAATTGAACGAGCTGCTGAGCAAAGGATTCATCCGACCGAGCTTCTCACCCTGGGGAGCACCGGTCTTGTTCGTTAAAAAGAAGGACGGATCTTTCTTCATGTGTATATACTATCGAGAACTGAACAAGCTCACTATCAAGAACCGTTATCCTTTGCCACGAATTGACGACTTATTTGATCAGCTACAAGGGTCGAGCTACTTTTCGAAGATTGATCTAAGGTCGGGGTATCACCAGCTAAGAATTCAGGAAGAAGATATTCCTAAAACAGCATTCCGAACTCGCTATGGTCACTACGAGTTTGTAGTAATGCCCTTCGGTCTAACTAATGCGCCAGAAGTGTTCATGGACTTAATGAATCACATGTGCAGGCCTTACCTGGATAAATTCCTGATCGTATTCATTGATGACATACTAGTTTATTCACGAAGCGAGGAAGAACACCGTCAGCATCTACGGCAAGTCTTAGAGACGCTTAGGGCAGAAAAGCTATACGCCAAGTTCTCGAAATGCAATTGCAAACTGGGCGACACCAAGAACACCGACGGAGATACGCCAGTTTTTGGGCCTTGCTGGCTATTACCGAAGATTTATACAAAGTTTCTCAAAGATCGCCAAGCCGCTCACAACCTTAACACAGAAGGGAGTAACTTTTAGCTGGGGAAAAGAACAAGAATCCGCCTTCCAAACACTTAAGCAAGCTCTGTGTAGTGCTCCAATCTTGTCCCTCCCATAAGGGACCGAAGACTTTATGGTCTACTGTGATGCATCCAAGCAGGGCCTGGGATTTGTACTCATGCAACGAGGAAAGGTCATCGTGTATGCCTCAAGGCAACTCTAGACTCATGAGGTCAATTACACCACGCACGACCTCGTGTTAGGGGCAGTGGTGTTTTCCTTAAAGATCTGGAGACACTACTTGTACGGTACCAAATGCACCATCTTCACAGATCATAAGAGCCTACAGCGCATACTCAGTCAGAAAGAGCTCAACATGAGACAATGGCGATGTGTGGAATTGCTTAACGACTACGAATGTGAAATTCGTTATCATCCGGGAAAGGCCAATGTAGTAGCAGACACCCTGAGTCAAAAAGAATACTCGGGTCGCCGAGTAAAGTCATTAACCATGACCATCCACTCTCACCTGTCTTCACAGATTAAGGAGGCTCAGTTGGAAGCCTTGAAACCCAAGAATGTAATAAATGAAGCTTTGCATGGTATGGAAAAGAACCTTGCTATCAAGGATGACGGAGCTTACCACCTCATGGATCGAATCTGGATGCCGAAGTTTGGTGGGTACAGAGACGTTGTCATGAATGAAGCCCACAAGACAAAATACTCCGTTCATCCGAGTTCTGAAAAGATGTATCAGGACCTCAAGAAACTCTATTGGTGGCCGAACATGAAAGTCGAGATCGCTACCTATGTGGGCAAGTGTCTGACTTGTGCCAAGGTCAAGGTTGAATATCAAAATCCCTCGGGTTTAATCCAGCAACCAGACATACCCGAGTGGAAGTGGGAGCGGATAACCATGGACTTCATCACCAAGTCACCCAAGACGAAGGGTGGACATGACACCATTTGGGTGATCGTTGACAGTTTAACCAAATCCACACACTTCCTACCAATAAAGGAGACTGACAAGATGGATAAGCTGACAAGGGCGTACATTAGAGAAATCGTGCGGCTGCATGGGGTGCCAATATCAATTATCTCCGACAGAGATAGTAGATTCACCTCACGGTTCTGGCAGTCACTACATAAGTCCTTAGGGACCCAAATTGATATGAGCACCGCCTACCATCCTCAGACTGACGGGCAGAGTGAGAGAACCATATAGACACTTGAAGACATGTTGAGGGCATGTGTGATATACTTTGGTAAGGACTGGGATACTAACTTACCACTTGTCGAGTTCTCCTATAATAACAGCTATCACACCAGCATTAAGGTCGCTCCATTCGAAGCCCTCGACGGACGAAAATGCAGATCACCCCTGTACTGGGCCGAAGTAGGTGACACGCAGCTGGAAAAGGGACAAGTACCTGATAGTACGCTCACTGGCCCGGAAATCATACGGGAAACCACGGAGAAAATCGTTCAAATCCGTGAACACTTAAACGCATCCCGGGATCGGCAAAAGAGCTATGCAGACAAGTGGCGAAAACCTTTGGAGTTCCAGTCGGTGATCGCGTGATGTTAAAGGTCTCGCCCTGGAAGGGAATGATACGCTTTGGAAAACGAGGGAAGTTAAATCCAAGATATATCGGGCCATTTGAAATCCTTGCTAGGATTGGTCCGGTGGATTACAAGTTACGTCTACCACAGCAACGCAACTATGTACATCCTGTCTTCCACGTGTCCAACCTAAAGAAGTGTCTGTTTGATGAGACTCTTGTGGTTCCACTCGACGAGATCGAGGTAAAGGGAAGTCTACACTTCATAGAGGAACCAATTGAAATCATGGATAGGGAGGTCAAAAGGACGAAACAGAGTCGTATACCGATCGTGAAGGTCCGTTGGAACGCCAAGCGAGGACCCGAATTCACTTGGGAGCGGGAAGATCAAATGAAGTAGAAGTACCCACAACTATTTTCTAGCTCTTGAATACTCACCCTAAAAATAATTTCAGGACGAAATTCCCTCTAACGGGGGGATGATGTGACAACTAACAAAATTTGGATCAAGAAAAGTCTAAATTGTAACCATGTACAAATGAATTCACAATGTAACCTTGTTGCAATTGATTCTTGTAAATCAAAAAGGACATTGTTTGTATGAATACATATATAAGCGTACTTTGAGAACCAGTTCGTAACAAATATTTAAAAGTCAAAATAGGTCAAATAGTTAAAACATGAATCAAAAGTGGGATTTGCTTTAGGGTTTTCGGCCAAGAAAACCCCAAGACCGAAATCACCCTTAGTGGGTGATCTCTAAACCGAAAACCCTCCCATGTAAAGCATCAAACCGAAAACACAATCCTAGAACACCCTAGGACCAAAAACTCCAAGATCCAAGCCCACTAAGGCCGAAAACTCAATGGGTGAAGGAGTTAGGATCGAAATCACCAAGGGAATAGGGTGATTTCGGTCATCCTAAGGGGTGTCCAGTGGGTTTTTCTATGTAGGATTAGAAATGACCTTGGAAAGAATGATTCAACTTTACACAACTTTACCCAGTACGTATCCATGCAACCCCCACAATTACATTTCAAATAATCAAGGATCCATACATTCCTTTTCTCCATAAAACCACGGCCAGAAGGCCATCCTTCATTCACCATCTCTCCTTCTTTCACTATCTTTACCTTCTTTCATCTTCATATTTCAAAAAATTTCCCTCAAGAACAAGACCCAAAAATTTCCCAAGATCATCATCATCAAAGTGGTCCTTAGAATTTTGGTAAGCAATTTCGTGAACCTCTAGCGATTCTACACATTTTTATGTAAATTTCATCATTTTTACACACCTTAGTGTGTATTGACATCCTTAGGGTAATATAATCTTCAAGAAGTTCATCAAACACATACTAGTGTTTTAGGCTTGGAATCTTCACATAAACTCTTCAAACAACCCACAAATCCACTCAAGGTGAGTTCATACCCCCATAATTTTCGAAAATTTCATGTTTTAGGGGGGGCGGGGGGTAATACAAGTCAAAAATTGTTTATCACACAAATACTTGCATGTTATAGCTTTATGTTAAAGTATCAAGTGTTATTTGCATGAGTTATGATTTTGCTAGTTTATACAAATATTTGTGTTATATTAGTTTTCAAATGCAAAACTAACAAAAATAGAACATGATCTATGTTATAAAAAATTGAGAAAAATTATGATTTGTGAAGCTACATGGTTTCTGGAAACTTTTTAACTAAATATAGCTTTTCTAACCAAAAGTAGTATATTCTAGTTATTTCACTATTTTGAGGGTTACAACCCAAAAATATGATGTTTAAACTTACATTTAGAAACTATACAAGATGACTACTATGTATTTATATAAATGATTATATAAATGTTTCTTGATAAACAAACATGATAAACTATAATTGGTATAGTTTGGGACTCACAAAACTACACTATCATTTCAGATGAAACTTATAATTAATTAAAGGTATAATTATTACATTTACAAGTAAAAGGAGTTTCAGTTCACGTAAATCGATTGATACTGGTTGTGAGAGTTTCGACTTCACCATACCTACCAGAGTATACAACTAAGACTTGTATTATAACCAGAGTCTGTTGGAGGGAGAGTGTGATACTTGTGTATCGATCTATAAGGGATTGACAACCCCGCACCTAAACTGTTAACTACAGTTAGACCGACAGGTCTGGATGACAAATATCATACCAGTTACCGACGCCCGAAGCACGTCGTTTCAGGCAACTAGTCGCATTAGCATGGTTATAGTAACTCACACAGGGTATCAATATAACGTTTGATTTATGAGTTAACATACATTCAAATAGTTTTATATAAATATAAAGCTTCATAAACATTAATTTCAGTATAGCATTACTTACATTTTAGTCTTTGGATTAAGACTTACAGTTCATTTTAAAGAAAATATTGGATTTTCTGGAAGCATACCCTATCATTTTCACGAAACAGTTATAAACCCTTTTCATACAAAAACGCTTATGAACTCACCAACTTAAATGTTAAAACTTTTCAAAATCACTTGTATTCTCAGGAAATCAGTAAACAGGTAACCCCAGGGAACTTTCTTTTGAGGAATGGAACGTCGTTACATCATGCTATTTATTTTGTTATATACATTGGTATCATGTAAAACAATATTTTGAGTACAATGTAACTTATTAAGTATTGAATGTAATGGTTGTGATGCTTGTTTCATTTATATCCAATTGTTATGATACTGTACATGAAGTCATCCGCCCTCGGACATTTCCGCCATTCCGGTTCGAGGGTGTGACACGGGGAAAGCAGAGACGTGAACAAAAAAGAACTCTTCTTTCTAGTATTTGATAGAGGTTGAAAGACCGTCACAAATCTCCACTAAACCATGAAGAAGAGAGAAGGAAACCCAATCTCCATTGGACATAGGAATATAGAAGTGACAAAACAGATTGATGGTCGATGACACATCCAGAGCGATGCACAGCAGGGTGAAGCAAAGAATCTTTCGAAAACCATCAGGGGTTATTTGGGCGATGTGCAAACCATAATAGTCTAGAACACTTTCAAGGAAATCAAAAGCAGGGAGACGCAACCCGGATTTGATGAATACTCGGTAAACCCCCACGAAGCCCTTCAGGGGCGTCAGTAATGGCATCATTGGCCTCCGGCAAGCAAGGATGGAACTTGGGGTCGATATTGTACTTCCCAACGAGCATACCCATGGTCCGAATGGTTAACTTGGATTTCACCGTCCCAATGTGAGAAATCCCAGTGCTCTCCATGTCTGGAAGAGAAGAATAAAACGAGAGAGGAAAGAAACTGACTCTAACCGAAATAGCAAATGGTGAAACGCGTGGTTCAATATCGAGTATTTTTAGCAAGTATAAAGTGTGTGAAGGTTAACAGGCAGACAATGTGGTTTGTAGATATTGTACCCCTACTAAAGGAAAGGCAGGTGAAAAGACGGCTATAGGGATCATCATTAGGGCTAGCATAACCATCAACACGTCACATCAAAATTAATTCAGGATTCTTCTCGTTCCTATCCGATTGTAACGGCTATAATGTCGACTCTACCAAAGTTTGCATCCCTACTCCATTGAACACGTTGGGATACAAACTGGGGGGACTTAATAGGATATAGTCCAGGAATACATATATCCTTTCCAAACAGACCGAACCGGCATGCTAGAGGGTTGCGCGAAGTTAGCCACCCCATACGTCTTGAAGATGCTCGAACCATTAGATACTGAACCAGCATAACGATTTTTAAGGAAAGGAAAGAACGAAGGGAAGGTATAAAGTGACGTCGAAACAGTAATCACAGTATCTCGAAGTTATGAGAATACAGCCTGTACGAGGATACGTGGCTGGTAGACCCTGATACAGTCTCACAACAGCTGTATAACGGCACGTATAGTACTGATAGTCGTACCTTCGGGTATAATGTCATAAATGCGATAAGATAGTGTATCAGGGTCAATATAGGAATAACTTGCTGCTTCCTCCTATCACTAGAAATAGATAGCTCGACTCATCATGAAGGTAAGTACACAAAAAACTCGTTCACAACTTTTGTGTATAATCGATCGACTACATAGCCTTTCGCTAACTTAACCGTCGGAGAGTCGTCCGGGATCCCCTCCCGATCGATTGCTTACGGTTTGTTTGTAGTCTTCAGGTCAATCTACTAGCCTAGGGAGAACCAATCCTTGAGTGAAAGATGGAAGACGGACCTGATGGCACATCACTATCATTTTTAAAAGTATTAGAAAAAGAACAAAGTATCATCAGATATTCCTCTAAACTAAAAAATAGATGACTAAATAATACCAGAAGATGATGGTGGTTGTGCATCTCCTCTATGCAATACTTTAGTTCCTCATGTGTCTCTTATGTTGAGTTCAAGCTATATAGGTCAGAAGTCATGTACATTAAAGTTAGTCCATGAAATGTATTAACACTTTTATATTATTCCTTGTATTTTTTTTATTCAAAATAAATACTTTTAAGTCATAAAGACCTTGTGGAGCAACATTTTTAATTGAAGGAGGTAACTACAGTGATGTTATACCACATCGAGATAAATTTGCAACCTTTGCAGCCAGATCCATGTACCACTTTTTTCTACAACCTTCCTAATTACATGTAATGTCCCATTTTCACAACAAAATTTTTTTAGTTTATTTAAGTAAATCTTCCCAATTATAAATCCGTTATGTAGTAAACCGTTTATTCCAAATACATTTATAAAAAACAGAGTGATATTAAAGCGTGGAATCTTCATTGTTGTTGATGAATGTGTACAGTCACGTCTTCGCCTTCCCATGACGACCGATGATACCTGAAACAATAAACAACTGGGTAAGCATAAAGCTTAGTGAGTCTCCCCCAGAATACCCCATACGATAAACATACAAGCATACATCGGGTCCACTCAGCCACCAGGCTAGAATACCCAGGCTTTGTTGGCCTACCGCTTCAGCCCAACCGCTCTTCCAGAGCCTCCGCGCCTACGGCTTACAGCCGGCTTGCACCGGATATCTTGGCCTACAACACAAAGCAAGACCGCCTCAACCCACTACTACCATATGTCGACATATAAACAATCAAGGATCAAGTAGGCACATAATACAGACAAACAACAATCATACAACTCACTACCGCCCACTAGTCCTCTCACAACACACATTCCCACTACCAGCTAACCTCCATGAAATGCATAACCATAAGTACCCAGAGGTGAGATAGCCACTCGAACAGATGATCATACTCTAGAGCCACAACCAAACGAGGAACAAGCAAGAAAGCCTAGATCAAGAGTTCTCAGGGTATCCTACATGACTACGTACAGTCCTTAGGGCACTCCAATAGATGATAACCAGTAAGTATAGATAGACACACAAATCTAACAGATCACTACATCATATCAACATCCTATATACCATGATACAAATCTAATAGATCACTGCAGCATAACAACATCCTATATACCAGGATACCGTTCTAACGGATCACTACAACATAGTAACATACTAAGTACCAACAATCCAAGGAATACATGACTGTATATACTCAGAGGTGATATAGACACCCGAAAAGGTGATCGTACTCTAGATCCACAACCAAACGAGGAACAAGCAAGATAGCCTAGATCAAGAGTCCTCGGTCTATCCTATATGACTATATAAAATCCATATAGCATCCTTCTACTAAAATATAACCAAAACTAGTGGGCCGACATTGGTGCCTTCAACCCACGAGTATAATGAGGCAAAACTCAACTAAAATGAAGAAACCCGAGAACACTGTGATACGCTCCCTGCTACACTGCTTGCTCCCGCGGATCCACTAACATCAGAACCATATAAAATCTTAATCACTAATAAAAAACCTCAAGCCTGACCTAAAGTCAAACTTGGTCAAAAAGTCAACGGTCAATAGAGTCAACCAAAGTCAATATTTCTTCCCAACAGAGTACGCCCTGCGTACCAAGAGAATACGCCCAGCTTACTTTGATGTTAACCAAAAGCGGGGCGCTGACCAGGTATGCCTAGCGTACGCAACCCAGTTCCAAACCTCCATTAAGAGCTTATTCCATTAATCCCTTACGTCCAAAACTCAGATCCAAGCCCAAAATGATGTCCTAATTCATAAAGCTTCCAACTTTATGACTTTGCATGGCTATAAAGTGCTTAATGTCCAAAACCCTAAGTTCTTAACCCAATAAGACATCACAACTTTTGTATGGAAGGGATAGATTGGCCAAGATCACATTTTTATGGTTCATAATAGCTCCATAATGGATAAGGTTTCCAACTTTATCCATCAGAATGGTCCCAACAAATAAGATCTAGTCTTTAAGTCTCAAAGGGACCCAAAAGGGCATCTTTTTGAACTAAATCCATTAAGTCCAAGTTCTCTAACCTTCAGATCTGAATCAAAATGATGTTTAGATGGATAAAGTTTCCAACTTTATCCATAACAAGGTCACAAACTTTCAAGATCTAAACTTTATGCAATTAAATTGACCAAAAGCTCATAACACCCAAAACTAGCTAGATCTAACAGTTTCATCATCAAGATTCAAACTTTATACCTCTAAAAGAAAGATCAAGGTGAACAAAATCTAGATCTACAAGATGCAATGCAACCAACACTTCTTCAATGAGTTCCATCTTCTCCAAGGTGCACCAAGAACACTCCAAAGCACTTAAAAACATCTTCTTTTTGCTCACAAGGCTCAATCTAGTGTTAGGGTTTCAAGAGAGGATGTTGGAGAGGTGGAGGCTGAGAATGGAATGGGTTTGGGGAAGTTAAGGAGCTTAAATAGGGATTAAACCATGAAAAATAGGGTTTATGCACTGATCGTGTACGCCCTGCGTACTCTTGGTACGCCCAACATACTAGGGATGCCCTAGTACGCCCTGCGTACGCGGCTAACCCAAAAATCGTCCTAACTTCAAACGGTCGTAACTTTTTCGTTCCAAATCCGTTTTCGACGTTCTTTATATCCACAGAAAGGTGTTGAAGAGATCTACAATATTATCTAAATATCTTGGAACTAAAAACTTCTCGAAAAAAATCCATATTTCATGCAAGGACCCGACCTATGACTTTTCCTTTTCTACCATTCGGCCCAAAACACAATTCAAGGGTAAAACCTCTTAACTATGATTACCTCCTTCCACAAGAACTAAACTTTGCCTCCTTAAGGCCCAAAAGCTTACACAATCGACTTCCGGTCCATGGCTCAAAAATGGCAGGAAACATAATGTTACATTACAACATTGAAACTATGAGAGCAATAATTTATCAGAAATAAATGAAATAACAAAAATTGCTAAGTTATATTTACTAACCATTATCTCGCGTTCTGTACATGTTCCTTGCTCACTAATTTGTGAAGAAACGAACAAGTCAAATTACACATAATGGAAAAAATAGATAGCAAAAGAAGAGAATAAAAAAACCTACTTTTATTTCAACTAAATTCTTCTACCACTAGATGGTCTTTCGTTGTAGAAATGACAATTTTAATACAACAAAAGGAATGAAAGTTCACATGGCATGCATTCCATCTAAACTCAAATAGATTCAAGCACTCAAAACACAAAGAAATTCAACTTTGGTAGACTGGTTTGTGTTCGACTTTTAATCGAACTCATGGTATGCATTTCAGTAAACAATATATTTAGATGATTAAATATAAAAGAAATTGAGGTGCATCAATATGTACATCAGGGGGTCAAAAACAAGGGTTCTACATACATGCTAGTAAAAGATTACTTAATGGAGAAAAACTATAGCAGGGAAAAAACACAAAAAGAAGAAAAAACAATTGAATGTGAGACTTGTACGTCCAGATTGAAATCGATTGAAGGTTAGTAGCCGACGACCTGAGATTAATTGAAAATAGTAGGTGGCGACGAACCTTACTGAAGGTGAGATCATACCTGAAGTCCGAACACAGTCCGAACACTGAAGGTGAAATTAGGTTTCCCTTATATCGTTTGAGGTGAGGCAAAACTCTAATTTCAATTTCATTGGAGATCAAGCAGAAACTTTCATTGGCGAGATTCTTATTTATGCTTGGAGGGAAATGAATTTTCATGGTGTTAGAAATTTTTCGATGGAAGGATCAGTTCATCGGGTTAT